GGCAGCAGCACAGAGATGGGGAACCCAGACAGAGTCCAGCAGTTTTCCTAAGTTGAGACAAAATTGAGAATTTGAAGAGGCCGTAATAGCTAGAATACTTAGTGGAGGCTCCTAGAGTGCAGGAAGAGTCACAGAGAGAAAGCTCTGTATCTACAGGGGTCCCTCTTGAGTCTTCAACTGAGCACTGATCAGTGAATAGTGAGGAAACTACCCAAGACTAGAGAAAGAACCTCTCAAAAGGAGCAGGCAGAATAGTTCTTAAAGTTCACGCATAACTGGGAATAGTTCACATTCCCAGCAGCCAGAATGCAAAAACCTCTATGAATGTACTGTATGAGTATATGTTCAAGAAAGTTAAAGAAAGCTTGAACATATTACAAAGAGACATAGAAAACATAAAAGAAAACTAACATTAAATTTCTAGAAATGAAAAATTTAACCACTGTTTGATGAAACAAAATTAACTGTTCAGGATTTGACAGCAGATTAGGCATTGTAGAAGAAAAGATTGAAGATTTAGCTGTAGAAACTATCCACAGTGGAACACAGAGGAATACAGATAAGAAACATTAACAAAAATCACAACCATCTATGAGCTATGCAGTAGTTTCAAGTGGCCTAATATACATGTAATTGGAACCCCAGAAGGAGAAAAGAGAGGCGGGGTGGACAGGCATAGAGTAAGATGGGGTAATAGAAAAAAAATTGTTTCTTTTTTGAAGAAATAATGCCAGAAAAATTTCCAAACTTGATAACTATACCCACTGCTATGGTTTAGATCTATACTGTCCCCCCAAAATGTCACGTGTTCTCAGAAGTGGGGCTTTTAGAAGGTGATTGAATCATGGGGATGCTATACTGAGCAATGAACTGACCCATTGAGTTCATAGCTCAGGTGCTGTTAGGAGGTGGGGCCTGGTTGGAAGAGGTGTGTCACTGAGGGTGTGCCTTTGCAGGGTGTACCTCCCTCCCTGGCTCCTCCCTTCTCTGTCTGCTTCCTGGCTGCCATGGAGTAAGCAGCTTTTCCTCTTTTGCCATTTCTACCTTGGAGCCACATGATCCCCTGAATCCTTGCACTGAATCCTCTGAAAACCATGAGTCAAAATAAACCCTTCCTCCTTTAAATTGCCTGTGTTGGGTATTTTTGTCCCAGCAAGGGGAAAGTCACATCTAGGAATCCCAAAAGAAAAAAATGAAAATTATATAAAAGCATGTCATAGTCATATTGTTTAACACCAGTGATAAAGAGAAAATCTTTAAAACATGAAGAGGGAGAAAAGACTGGCAAGCCTTAGGACAGAGAGAGTAACAAGAAATGAGAAGTGGTGACGGAAGCAGTGTCCCCAGGAGAGAGACTTCAGCGTGAGTAAGAACATGGAGAGACCGTTTAGAGAAGAGCTTCAGAATAGAGGAATTCCACTGATCCTCCAGAAGGCACAGTGCAAAGGGTTCTGGAGTTAGAGGGCGGGTGGAAGTGAGGTCAGATTAGAAGATGCATAAACATTTAGTGGGATAAGGACGACCTCTGAATTTTGAATCCCTTGTGTCCAGCGTAATCAGGATAAACAAGCACTATATGTTTAGTCCTGACAGCCTCAAAGGTAGATTGAGGTGGCTGGGCAGGAAGCAAGCAGTGGTTGTCTTCACTCCAGCTGATGGAAGTGTGGAGCCTGGGCAAGATTGGTCTTACCAGAGTGCATGTGTGTGCGTGTGTGTGTGTGTGCGCGCGCGCGCACATGTACGCGTGGGTGTGTGTTTTCCAAACAACTTTGCTTCCTGATTCTTTAGGTACCTATTGTAGAGACTTCTATCCCTATATCCAGTAAGTTCTCAACAAAAGGAATGATCTCATATATTGAAAGGAAGCTTCCTACAGGGTCTGGATGCCATATTTGAATAAAAATTTGTTTTTTCAGTCATTCTTTTTTATATGAATTTGTTCTAATAATACCTGTCATCACATGGTTTTTGCACTCACATCCGAATACTGTGACCATTTGAGTTCTATTTATATAAAAGTTCTACATGTCTCTTAAGCATATTTTGCTGGTGTCCTTATTAGGTTTCTTCCCTGGGTAAGCTGATATCTTGTTGATTGTATGAAATTAGAGTCATGACTTGTCATGGTATGAGTGAAAAGAATACATTCAAGATTGTCTAACGAGGGTAGATTAAGCAACATTTAAACAAGAAACCCACAATGCTGTGTCTTTGCAAAATTGCTTTAATAATCAGCTTTTCATGACCTCTTCATTCTTAAAAATTTAGATTAATGTTATATTGTCATGTGTTTGATTAAAAGCACATTTGAGTAGAAAAGTATGCTAGCTTTTAGTAGTAACAATAGAAAGCCTGATTATTTGGACCATATGGCCATAAACTGTGCCCTGCTACGTTTTTACTAGCTCTTACCCTAATTACAAGTAAAATCTTTTTTGTGTGTGATAGGGAAAAGTTTTAGATAACTTAGTAGATTGAATATTAAGGTAGTTGTAGAAGCAAAATAAGTAATGTGTTCCTTTAAGATTTGCTTTTCCCATAACTCTTGTTGTTTAAGGTGCTGGTAATCTGACTCTTTAAGCAGTAACGTTATTAACCTAACAATGTTGCAATGCCTGGGTGAATTTACAATGTATATGTGCCTATCTTGTGTCTGTGACTTGTAAATAGGAACTGGAATTGTATTTACACATCAAACACCACTAGGGATGAGATAATGGCTAAAAAGGATATAAAAAGGGAAATGTTGAACAAAGGTACTAACCAGACCAGTTTGTGGAAGTCCCGCCCATTTGCAAGTAGAACTTTTATTATTTTAACCAAATTCTGTGTCTCTGTGTATTTCTTTCTGAGATTTCTGGAACATTGGTACCAGCATCAAACTCAGGACCTTGCACTTGCGAGGTAGGCATGTGCCACTGAGCTAAATCCCCGGCTACAAACAAAATCTTTAGAAAAAATAAACATGTATAATATAAGCCTCATGTAGGCCAAAATCTACACAATTCTATTCAGTAGCTTATTGGATAGCCAGTGTAATCTTACAAGAGGAATGTTTTGCAATTTTGGGATATTTACGTCAGTGTATTTACTCCAGTAATTACATTCTATTTCTTGTACCTATAATGTGGTTTTAAGTTTGTGTTCTGTTAGTAGAAGCAGTAAATGAGCAATGTGTATGCTTTACTTGTTACTGAGAAGCTTGATTCTTTATGGTATTCCTTCTGCCAAATTGTATTAATCATATTCAGGTTATATAAGAATATTATAAAGTTAACTCAGTTCGTGTCACAAATTATTCTCAGTGTGGCATGTATGCACCTAATCCGTATCTCACATTTATTTTTCTGGCCATGTTTGATCTGTGTAATTTTAGTTTTATTGACTTTGTTTCCTTCAATCAGACAAGCACTTTCAAAACCATGTAACTGTCTCCCTCTACAAAAAAATTCTAGAAAAAAAAGAAACAGGAATCATTTATATCTGTTCTCTATGTGAAATGGCTTCAAGGAGATGTTAAATCTTGGAAAAGTTTGAAGACATATAGGCATCTCTGCCATAGACCTGGTATGAGCAACCTGTATGATGTAGCTGCTACAAACAGTAAGATTATACTAGTTCAGTATTAATAAAATATAATGTTCCAAAAATAGGAAGATATACTTCTATTATATTATTCTGCAAATATTGTGTCTGTTTCTGGTTACCTTGTTTGGATACATATTTTTATATTCTCTTTTACCCTTTTATCCTGTGAACAACCACTAACATACATTTTGAAAATAACTGATCTTACTTGGATTACAAAAGAAAAAGCTGTTACCCACATTATCTTCTGAAGTCCTAAGCCATGCTTCTTATTTTATTTATTTATTTATTTATTTATTTATTTATTTATTTATTTTTGGTACCGGGGATCAAACTCGGGACCTTGTGCTTGTGAGGCAGGCAGCAGAACCACTGAGCTAAATCCCTGGTCCAGTGCTTTTTTATTTTTTAACAACATCATTTTGTATGTTGAAAACCATTTGATAAATCAAGAAAACATAGTACACTGTTATTGTAGAGTCCTGAGGTACTACTTTCTATGGCCCTGTAACAAGCATTAGGTTTTCCTAGTTATAAATAAAATATGTAGTTGCCCAGGTGTTATTTCATTTGAGAAAAGTTCAAGTAGTACTCTGTCACCTTAAAATACTTTTTAGGGACGGTATAGTGTTGTTTTATTAGCAGTTTGCATTTGAAACTTAGAATTTTTACTTGGAGATGTAAAATCAAAATAATTTGTGTTTCAAAATTATTTTCTATATGTGTTATTTACTTTTCTCTTGTGCCTGAGGTAAAACATCCGACACCCAAAGTTAAAGGGGAAAGGTTTCCTTTAGCTCATAGTTTATAGAGGTTTCAGCCCATAATCGGCAGATCCCAAGACAGAGTGGCATGTGGCAGAGGGATGTCACAGAGGAGAAACAGTTCATGGCACCCACATGATAGCAAAAGCAACACAGGAATGTTAACAGTGTCTTTCTGCCCCTTTTATCTTATTCAGACTACTGGGATTAGGGCAGTGCCAAACCAATCAGAGGACTGATTTGTCAATCACACACCCTTAATCCCAGCATCACACACTGTAGATTCAGCCACCTCTGAAAAAGCTACCTATGACAGCATGAAGCTTTGGGGGGGACATCCAGACCCAAACCATAACACTATAATTTTGATATTATATCTAAACATTCTAGACATTCAGATTGAAAAATTAGAGCTGATAGAACTTTTCCTTTATCTTTAATATGATCATTCCTGTTCCAGTTTTCTATTAAGTCTTTTCATATTCAGCATGTGGGGTTGGTTTGTTTTCTTTTCATGTTGAGGTTTACAGAGAAAATCCATATGTTAAAATGTAGTGTCAGTTGATTGGGTAAGAAAAATATTTATTATTAACATTGAACTTACTTAGGAGACAGTGCAACTAATCTGGCTGTTTTGTTTCTTTTTAGGTCTGCGGGTAACTGTGCTTCTGACATCCTTCCTTATGGTTTTGGGTACTGGTCTGAGATGCATACCTGTATCAGACTTAATGCTTAGAAGAAGGTAAATCCTATGAATAACTTGAAAGATTTTCTCACATTTGTCTCATTTAGTATAAATATATTGTATATCTTCGATTATAAGCCTGTAGTAAGTAGTTCTATTTTTATGATCAGTAGAGAGTCACATTTATAGAATTTTTACCCCGTGTGATGATTAATTCAGTTTATTTTTATATGGAAAGTGCTATACTAGTTGTGGAAATAAAAGGAACAAATTAATCTTGTACTACCAGCACTTATAATAAACATGAAAGAATAATAATATATAATATATATTTATAAAATAGTGCAATTAATGTCATAGCAGAGATGTAAAATTACGCCATGAGACTGAAAGAAGTTTTAGCTGAGGGAATCAAAAAAGAGAGTTCAGGAAGGAGGTGACAATTAAACTAAGTGTTGAATGATGAGTAGAATTTTGAGGATTATAATTGGGGAAGAGTAGGAGTGAAGGCCTGTGAGGGGGCAAGTAAGCAGGGGCCTCACCCAGGGTGGGTAAGTTGTTTCATTTATGTGCAGCAGTGTTTCTGGATCCTTGGCTTCATTTTCATGGTGTGCAAGATACATGATCTTAAGATTCTGTCCTCACTTTGGTTATTATATTATAATTGTGTGTCTTAATCTGCAATAAAAAGACATTTTTATTAACTGGAATATACATTTCTTAACTGATGTTTCTCAAACTGGAGTCCTTGAATGTGACCATAAGAGAAACTGAGATTTTTTTTTTTCCCCTTTGAGAAGAACCTATAAATTACTCAAGTTTGGGAGACACTGGTCTACCAGCTAAGGTGTAAGAATGGATATAAAGAGATAAGTTCAGAAGAAAGGGTTCCCTGCATTTGAAGCCTCGTATGCATCCTGTCCAGAGCTCCTGAGGACCTTTTAGAGGAGTGACAGTGTCAAACCTGTGTTAGGTAAGCTACTGACTGAGGTATGTAGGCTTGATTTCAGGGGTAGAGACTGCTGGCAGGAGAGAGCCCAAGCTGGACTCATTCTTTTGTTTATTTATTTCTTCATTTGTCCATCCATTCAGCAAAATTCACTAAGCCCCTACTATGTGCCATACTCTCCTGGGCATTAGGAATAGAGAGAGAACAAAACAGAAAAAAAAATCTCACTTAGAGAGTTTGCATTCCAGTCAAGGAGAATGGTGATAACTAGATAAATAAGTAACATATATAGTATGTGCTGTGGAGGACAAAATAAAATAGGAAGGAACGATTTTAATTGTGAGAAGGATGGTGAGATTTCAGAAAGAAAAGAGCTTACTGGGATAATAGCCTTCTGGGATGAAGACCTGAAGGATGTAATGGGTGATGCAGTATCTGGGAGATGATCATTCCGTGCAGAGAAACACAGCAGGTATCAAGGGTGGAGGCAGAAGAGCACAGCTGGCAGGGAGGCCAGTATGACCAGAGCCCAGGGAGCAACTTCACAGAAGTATGGACAGACCTGAGGTCAGAGCAGGGGCCCTGTGGGGCCAGATTCTTCTGTTCCTGTGAGGACTTCAGATCTTTCAGAGCAAACAAATCACCAGAGGTTTAAACTGCAGAGTGTCCTGATTACAGGCTGCTGTACTAAGAGTAAACTGAAGCTGGAGGACATGGGTGTAAGTAAGGAGACCAGCTGGGAAAGCAGCCAATGAACGTGGTGATGGTGGCTTGAGCCATCGTATTGGCAATGATGGTGTGAGAAATAGTCAAATTGTGATTACATTTTGGAAGATTTGTTGATGGACCAGATGTGAGGAGGAAAGAAAAGGAATCGAGAATGACTCTTTGCTGCAGGAAGTTATAAAAATGGTGCAGATGTAAGGGAGAACATGAGAAAAAGAAATTGGAGGTGATACAACTCTGGCTTCACTCTTGGAGTCCTGAAACTATTGAGTCCATTAACAGAGATGGGAAACCCAGCAGAAGTGGATTTTAATGATAAGATGTTGATTTTCATTTGGAACAGAATTTTTCTGTTTAAAAATGAAAGTTCAGTTTTCAATTTATGTTTTTTTCCAGAAAATTCAGCATATCAAGTATTTCATATTTTAAAAGGAAAATAGAAAAAACCTTGGGTTCCTGTGGAAAGCTAGTTATCATTTCTCATGCCTCTGAATTAGATTTTAACTTATGACTTTCATTATTATATTTGAAACAGTCTTAATTTTTAAATATCCAAGTTTTTTACTACATCTACCATCTTTAAATACAAATTTCAGCATAAGCATAAATTCAACAGTACTTTCTTTAAAGATACTTATTAATATTTTGTTAGCTTTTATTCTGTTTGGGGGCATTTATAATATTATTTATAATATTTATTCCTTTATATTCTTTCCAGTTATAAAATTCTAGAAATAAAGAGTTGCTTCTCTGTCTTGGCCGAGAAGATATTTAAAAGAAATAGAACTCATAAAGAATTGTAAACAAAGATAGGAAGACAGACAAGAAAGAAATAAAGAGTTCAAAGAAAGAAATTAAATTAATTTTCAACCTTATGTGTTCACCTATAAAGAATATAGGAGTACTTCCCCTCTGAAGTAAGACTTTGTTTTGTGTCCATGCAGTACGTGTTTTAACCAGTATTATTAGCAGTGCACTGTGCAGCTGTTAAAATGAAAATGCTACAATTTGAACATATGTTCTCAACTAATAAATTTGATAGATCACTACTTTTTAAAGTTTCAGTCTCCATCACACACTCAGAAAAAGGAATATAATTGGTAATATAATTTTGAACAGAACTGAAACAAAAATTTAGCAGTCTGTGCTTTTGCACCTTTTTTCACTTGGAGCTTTTTGAGCTTCTGATCAGTCTTATGGATGGTGCCCCTGTATCCTTGTCTGCCTAAATCTTGGCTCCTGTAAGTCTCAGACTGAGAACAGCAGCTTGCTACAGGCTCATCCTAGGAGGGTTTTTCTTCTGAAAGGTATCAATATAGTCATCATAGTATTTCATCTCATGAAAATTCAAGTAAAAATTATCTTGTCATTTTTCTCTTATTAACATCATAGATAAATAGGAAACTTATACTAACAAGTTATAAAACATTTCAGTGATCTGGAAGCAAATCTAACAAAAAATTATAAATGACATTGTTCTATAGCAATGAGTGACATTACCATGTAGTGTGAAATACTATATAATATGTCCAGTGGAGGATGAACTTACAGTAAGTTGTATCTGCCCGTAGTCATACTGTATGTAGATCCAATAATTCCCATAACACATTCCTTATTGCATTTCCATTCAGAGTAATTTCAATTAATATGAACAGTAAATAACATTTGCTACATGTGTCAAATAGTTAAATAGTATGGCTTTATAAACATAGATTTTTTTTTTTTTAGACATATGCTCTCTTGTGAAATGCTTGCATTTTACCAGAAAAGATTAATTGTTTACTGAGTGATTTTATGACCGCTACTTAATTATCTGGGGGGAAAAATGAAAAAGAGCCTAGATTCTTTCCTTACCACTTAAGTAAATTCTTATTGGGTCAAAGACCCAAACATTTTTTTTTTTTAAAAAGCCATGAAAACATTAGGAAATGATTGTTTTAAAAAATCTAAGAGTGGGCCAGGGATTTAGCTCAGTGGTTCCGCTACCTGCCTCACAAGTGCAAGGTCCTGAGTTTGAGCTCCAGTACCAAAAACAAAAGTCTGAGAGTGAGGAGGGCCTTCCAACTAAGACATCTCAGAAGTAAGGCATATGGGGCCAGGGATTTAGCTCAGTGGTTTCGCGGCCTGCCTCACAAGCACAAGGACACAAGTTCAATCCCCAGTACCAAAAAAAAAGAAAGAAATAAGGCATAATACATTTGACTACATAAAAATTGAGAATGCCTTCTTGATTAAATATATAGTAAACCAAATCAAACAACAAGTCAAAAAGTAGCAAATGTTTGCAACAATAAGATAAATTGGGCCAGAGTGCTGCCACACACGTGTAATTCCAGCACTTAGGGAAGCTGAAGCAGCAAGATTGCCACAAGTTAGAGGCCACCCTGGGCTACATAGTTCAAGGCAAGCTTGAACTACATAGCAAAACCCTATCTCAAAGAAAAAAAGCCCAAAAATAAATAAACAAGCAAAATTGATAACTTTCTTAGTTGAAAATAATTCTTTCAAAAATAAGGAAAATGGGTAATGAATGTGAGCAAGCAGTTGCAAAAATTAAAATATAAATGACATAAACTTAGGGAAGGAGACTGTCTTAGTTATTTTTTTTGTTGCCAGGACAAAATACCCAACATCGACAAGTTAAGGAGTGGTTTATTGCAGCTCACAGTTTGTAAAAGTTTCAGTCCATAGTTGGCTGGCTGCAAGGCAGGGTGGTGTGGCAGAGGGGCACAGCAGAGGAGAAACAGTCCATTGCAGAGCAGGCAGAAGGCAGTGAAGCAGTGAGCTTTCCTCTCACTTTATATTTCATCCAGGCTACAACCCTATTGGAGGGAAGGGGAGTTTCCATTATTCACACCCAGAACTATGCTGAACCAATCAGTAAACTAATTTAATTAATCATACACTCTCAATCCATATTCATACACTCTAGATCCAGTCAGCTCTGAAGACCCCCCAACTATGAGCGTGTGAGGCTTTGGGGGGACATCTAGATACAAGCCATAAGAGAGACTCAACTTTCTATCATAATTAAAGAAATCAAAGTTAAAACATCAATTAAATGTCTAGTGGCAAAGAAGAAAAAATATGGTAATAGACAGTGTTGCCTGAAGTGTGTGGAAAAATGAGTACTGCTGAGTTTGGGATGACCTGTTTTGAGAGTATGTTGGCAATATATAAGATTCAAAATGTCCATATCCTTTAACTTACAGAAAAGCCCACATGCAAAGCTCTACCATATTTATGAAGCTTTGCTTGTAATGGGAGAAGGCTGTATGCATCTCAGATGCCTACAACAGAGGACTGGCTACCATGTGTGTGGTGGAAAAGTATGCGGCTATAAAAATGAAGTAAAAGTTCTATAAGTGCTAATAAAGAATAC